GGCCAAGACCTCTCCCTCCCGGCCATAGTGGCGGCTATGGTCGGGGACCAAACCAGGTGGCGGGCCTTCACCAGCTTCTGCGGGGCGGTGATGGCCCGAAAAGAAGAGGATGAGCGGATCCGCCGGGGGGGAGGCAGATCCTCCTCCCCAACCGGCGGATCTCTCGCAACAATAAAAGAAAAGCGCGAGGCCCGCGAATCACCGCGATCCTCGCGGCGCTCCCTGCGACGCAGGGGGCGCCAGTGCCGCACAACCAGCGGCACAAGTGGTACAGCACCCTCGGGTCTCCCCCTTGACGAGAGGGGAGGACATCGGGGGATGAGAAGTTCGGCGTCCCGGCGGGGTGAACGGGGCGCCGAACACACTCTCAGGAACAACGAGAGGAGTGGCGGGGTGAGGTGGTGTCACACCCCGCCACACAACAGATAAAGGATCGGCCGTGAGGCCGCGAGCTATAAGCACGAGAGACGCGGGCCTTCCATTAGGCCAGGCGCTGGAGACGCCCCGGACGTACTGATAGCCAGTTCCCGGGGCGTCCCCAAGGCGCTAAGTCGGACACCCATGGGGTTTTAATGGATAGGTCGCGCGCGCCTGCCTTGGGGGCAAGCACTAGGTGCATCTCCTCGTAACCGGCACGCGCGCGTAGAATCCCACACTCCCCCCGTTCCTCTCCCCGGAGGGCCGGGAAGGTCTTCCCCCTCACAACACTTGAGGGGGCTGCCGGGCCACATACCGGACCTGCAGGTCAGGTTCGGAAACCCGGCAAAAGATTTCCCCATGTTAAAAAAAAAAAAAGGAGAACATTTTACAAACACTATGCAATCATTGAGATTTGCTAGTGAGGTAAAAAATTGCAAAACTAATAGTAATAGACCGCGAAGTCCGCGGTTAAACATCAATAAAAGTCCCTATAAGGAGAATTAAAGAAAAAAAAATAACTCGATGATAATTTAGTCGATCACTTAGCCGGATCTGAATCTTATCCCGACCAAAGAAGCCCTGCTCGAGATCAG